GTCCTTCAAACCAGAGCTAGATAAGATTTTAACAACTTTAAGCTAGTAGTTGAATTCTCCCCAAACCAGCTTGATGGACCAATTGGCCTCCTACCGTTTGTAAACTTCTTATGTTCTTATGAATGGACACACTTCACATCTTACCTTGTCGCAATAATAACAATGCGATGCTTGTTCCAAAGAAACCGCACGGCGGGCTTTGTAGCCACCAGAGTAAAGGTCTAACAGATTGGTACCGCAGGATCCAGAAGCGGCAGTCCCCACCAAATAGGTCCCTGCTGTTTATCTGACTGTTTGAAACTGTGTCAGCGTGTGCTTCTTGTGGTCACAGTCGTCAGTGTAAATTTTTAAAATAAGCATAAGTACGAGGTGCGGCACAGGGACCTGCGTTCTAGCCTGCCCCCTTCAGGCCTGGGGTAGGAATGCCACCCTGGACTGCGCCTGTCTACGTCTCTGAAATCTGCCTCTTCTCCTCATGTCCCGTGTGTTTTCCCACACACCGGAAAGTTCCGAGGTGGCAGAATTGGAGTTCCGGTTTTCCCGCAGTGTGGGATCTGTTCGCGTGCGCCCTCTGATGGAGGTTAGGATTTTGTGTCATTGGGATCAAATCCCAGGGTCAGCAGAGTGATGTCACCACTGGGCCCCTGAGCCAGGCCCCCTAACCCACTGCTTCCCCAGGGACTGTCTGATCATTGCTTTCGAAAAAAATAAAAAAAAAATTTTTAAAAAATAAAATGTAAATGATGGCATGGATCCCATATACAGTGTCTGCGTACCCTGGCCTAGCTGTCTGGGATAGGATCCAAGCTCACCACAAAGATGCAGCGGATAAGCCTGACAATGTAAAGCTTGTTCATCTTAATGACAGCAGCTTTAATCCGTAAATTTTTTTTCATTGACAGCCGCTTAAGTATTAGTAGCCTGACATTAGTCGTAATTAGAATTCTTCCTCGCTCACTAAAACAAATACGCCTCAGATGACGTGAAATCAGACGCGTGATGAACGTCAGCCTGCCGCTTACACCACCCTTGCGTCTTTCTCACCGGTCAGCCTCCAGCAGCCTGCCCCCCAACCCCCCCCCCCCCCCCGAGGTGCTTGCATGTTTCAGCGATGTGGTAAATGTCGGCGTGTCACGGGGAGTAACGAATGGATCGAGCCTGGCTGCGGACCCGAGTCAGGAAGAGGGCCTCTTTTCTCTCTGGATGGGAAATACCCGCTGGCTGGTAGCCTAATTGCAGCGGGGGAACGAAAACTGTCGGCGGCCTGTGGGGGCCACCCGTGCTTTGGTTGGAAACGGGAAGAACGAGGAGGAAAAGTCGAGCGGGCCCTACGGTAGCGGCTAGCGGCGATAAGTATCTCCGGCGTGGGAGACCGGCCTCCCTCCAGCGCTAAGAACTGACCTAAGTGCAGCATTTCGCCAAAACAACTCCACCGTGACACCTGGCAGCTGATCCAAGGTCAGCTTATCCAGGGAGAGACCAGAGGATGTCCGTCTTGCCCCGTAAATAGTGGAAAAACTCAGACTGGTGCTGGACACGCATCCGAAGGTTTGTTTCGGGAGGGGCGGCTGGCCGGTAACGCCTCGGCGTGAAGTTCTGTGTTTACGACGTCCCGCCGCTGGAACAAGACGTCGTGTGACCATATATTTCTGAAGTCACTATTCATTCCCCTGTTAATAACGTCTCCACTAGAGCTGTCCTTTTTCACCCACCTCCCCCCCACCCCCCATACGGCAAGGTAATTAAGTGTATTCTGCTAAAACTATGAAGTGAAATATTTTAATCTGTCTTTTTTGGAAGGCTGGCCCGCACACTCGCATGAGGAACATATCGAATGTAGCTACAGAACTCCTCTGGCATAGAGAGTGCCAGTATTAAGTCATTGGTATTAATCGCTTTTGTTTCTAAAATAGAGCCCCCTCCCCCCAAAACTGCAAAGGATCAGTCTACTAAGCCCCGGATTTCGATCGCAATGCCGAACACAATACCGCGCATTTTACCTGCGACCGCAGCCCTTCCAGTTATGACCGGCGATAAAAAGTGGGGTTCCCAATGCGCCGGGTGAGTCTCCCCCCCTCATCTGCAGGGAGCCCCCCCCCCCCAGGTCCTGGAGTATACCAGCCTCAGTAAGTCAGGGGAACAGAAACATGGAGACGCTGAGTCCCTCAGTGGAGGCATCGCTTACCCCGCCGACGGAGTGTGAGCCTATTTCTGGTATTTATGATACGCGGTGACAGTGTAGCTTATGAACTCGGCCGAGCCGAAACCTTCCTCTGTATCTTCACTCCCCTCACATTCACATTCCCCAACTTTTCTCTCTCTTGTTGTTCTCCTCTCCCCACATTCCTGCGACAAGTTTTCTTTGCACATGTGCCTCTTGAAATAAAGGGCACGGTATTGATCGGCCAGGGTGGGGGGGGGGGGCTTATTTGAAATCAGACCAAATTGTGAGGAAGCGTAGGGGTTAAAGTTCTGTGACTGATAAAACTTCTTTCCTTTGGTCTTTCTTTCCTATCTTTCATTTGATATGTAGGGTTGTCTGTGATTTTTGTCTACATTTTGTTTTCATAAAAATCCATTTTACTTTTATTTTTGTGTCCTTGTAACAATGCATTGTGTAAGAATAGTGCATTATGTAATAACGACAAAATGTAACAAATTTTCACTTCCTTTTGTAATAGCACCAACATTTTGTAATAATCTGTCGCATTTTGTAATAATCTGTCACATTTTGTAATAATCTGTCACATTTTGTAATAGACAGCTTGGACACAATATGTAACACATTTCCCTACTTTCTGTAATAAATAATTACATATTGCAGTGGTTATTAAACTTATACGTTATTATTCCACGTTTTAATGATGAAAATGTAATATTGTGCATGTAATGAACAAACAAAATGGATGCATTCTTTGACACTTTGTTGAGTTATTACCCAATGCATTTTTGCAGTCTTTTTTTAACACACCTGTCAACTTCCAATGTTGCCTGTAGGGATTAAGACAATTAGCTTGTTTTGTAGATGCTTTTATCCAAAGCAACATACATTATTTTTAAGAGAGCAGCACCAGACAGTTCATGTAAACGGATTTGGGGCCGAGCTCAAGGGCCCAACAATGAAATGACTCTGCTGGCCCCAGGATTTGACCTGATAACCTTCCAGGCACAGGATGCTAATGTACACCTTCCCCCCCTCCCCCACACAATGACAGCATCTTCTGAGTTTTGATTGCAAAATGTCTGAAAGAAGCAATTATCATCTGAGAAATTGCATCCCCAGGACTGCAGAAGCCAAGATGACTGCTGTCTCTGCTACTCCATTCATGGATCATTGAAATTGTTACTAATGCTGCTGAAATCAGTAGCATATAATGGAATATTACAACCAAATATTTCATAGTTTATTTCATATTTCAGTTTATTTACATTTCTGCTTTTTTACACATGCTGCACAAGATCTCCTCACTGTATCACGAATTAGCAGAGAATCTGTGTCTTTTTCTGGAACGCTTGCAGAACCAGCTTGCAGAACCAGCTTGCAGAACCAGCTTGCAGAACCAGCTTGCAGAACCAGCTTTTTTCACGTTAGCACTGTATTTCACTATTTTGCCTGACGCTAGCGCCCCGGGCCGCCCTGCTGGGCTACTCAGTAGCTCTGCACAGTAGCTGGAGAGGAACCGTTTGGTTTGTTTGGAAGACACTGGGCGGATCCTAACAAGGAAGCCCACATGGCCGAAGGGAAAGACATTTTTTCCACACGAGAGCGGCTCGCTTCCAAGTCTGGAAACCAAAAAAATATATCTTTAATCGCTTAGGAGAGCTTGTTACACAATCACAAGAATCACATGACTTGGCATGTGCATAAAAGACAACATACATTTATGGCCATAAAATTTCAGTACAATAATAATACATTTTATATGCTGCTATTGTAGTTGTTTAACGTCAGAGCAGCTAAGCAGTGCACTTAATGGACAGTGTCTCTCTCAAAGATATCGACGTGCATACATCAAAGAATTCTTCGAATTAAAAACAAAAAAACATTTACCATGAAACCAAAGTGTTTACTACAGTACATATAACCACATCGTGCCTCTAACAAGTTAGAGTTAAAGTTTGGCTCAGGGGATAAATAAGGATATAGATTTAAAAGCGCTGGCTCTTGTATGTGTGTATCACTGTCCGTGTGTGGAGTTTGCGGCACGCAGGTCAATAGAGTTCAACTTTCAATGCTGGATATGTACTTATCCTAAGCAGTTTGTGACCTTGCTGTTACACTCCTCGGGGAACCACCCCCCCCCTTCCCCATCCACCCCCTGCAGATGGATTTTTCATTGCATTAATCCCCCAGATCAGGTGGGTTTTGTCAAAGTGTTAAACTTTAATACTGCGGGTCATTTATCTTTACAGCGAAAGCCGGAGTCTGTCAGCGGCCAGACGAGCTATTTCCTCATTGTATTTGGAGCAAAGTGGTTCAGGGGAGAGCGAGAGGGCAGGCACTGATCACAGCTTAATTAAATCCTGATGTATGGGGAGGAGAAGGTATTCCGAGTCCCAGCACCCGACCATCGCAACTGCACTACTCCAAGGAGGCGGGCTAGGGATTGTTATTTATGAAAGGATTTATTTTTTACTACACTGATGCACCTCTGTTGCATTTCAAAGTGTGTGTGTGTGTGCGTGCATGTGTGTGTCTGCATGTGTGTGTGTGTGTGTGTGCGTGCATGTGTGTGTGTGCGTGCGTGTGTGTGTCTGCGTGTGTGTGTGTGTGTGTGTGTGTGTGTGCGTGCGTGTGTGTGTCTGCGTGTGTGTGTGTGTGTGTGTCTCAGTATGTATCCATGGGTCCAATATATTTATAAAAGTCTGACTACGATCAAAAAAACAAAAAATGCCAGAATACTTGTATTTTGTTTGGTTACTTATGGCTAAGGTTATGGCTGGGTTAGGGTTAAGGTTGTCATTGTTGGGATTAGGGTTTTACCCATAGAAATGAATGGAAGGTCCCCACAAAGATATGAGTACAGGTCTGTGTGTGTGTGTGTGTGTGTGTGTGTGTGTCTGTGTCTGTGTGCAACTGTGTTTGAAGCGATGGGTTTGGGAGCCACAATCTTGGCAGGAGACAATATACTTGCAGTCATTTCTTCCTGCAAAAGCTATAAGATTATTGGAACATCGTTCTCCCACGTATTTATCTTCATCCATGCAGATATAAGCTTTGAATGGAGCCCAAACAACATCCTTCATGTACAAAAAAAGGAATAAAACCAAATTTAAGCTGGATAATGTTACAAATAAATTAAGTCAGATATCAGTGCGTGATTGCTGCCGGCATTATGATTTGTTTCTGCAGTCCTTCTTGTTCACAGTCGCCCCTTCAGTTACCTTCGGTTTATTTTTTTGGCAATCCCTCTTGGTTTCTGCTATCGTTTGGTGTTTCCACTGCAACAATAGTACGTCATTCGTAAGAATGAATTTAATGGCATCAACGGTCCTATTAGCATGCAAATACCAGCAAAACCAACATACAGTACGTTTAAAAACCAACACATTATGATAAACGTTTAAATGTATAAATGTTTGCAGTGTCTGTATCTTCAGCCGAGACGGAGAGTCCAGGAAACCTACAATTAGAAAGCTATTCACGTTCTGGTCATATTTAGAGTATGGTTACAATATAGTCCGTAACATTTCCTTTAGGGTAACTACAGCACATACAGTATCTATGTTTTACTTGTTTTGGGTGTTGTAAAAATATGCCAGTTTCGTCCTGTGTTTGTGGAAAAATAAGGGATCATATTAAGGAAACGTATGTGAATTTATACCGAATCGTTACCGGCGGGAGACGTTCGTTTCGGTAACTCGTTTAGTCTCTAATTCATAGTGTTACCTTTAGGGTTGTGTGAACGTTTGTGTTCCTTCCACCAGTTCGTTAGGATCTGATTGATTTCATACTATTATGCGTAATTTTAATGTAAAATGCACGCCTCTAATAACGTCATTGACGACAGCTACTTAACTGGTCTTGCAAATAAATACGTTATAAAAGTTAGGTAATCATAAACACGGTTTAGGGTAAAGGGGGCTACATTTTTTACTTATGCAAGAATATGTGTTTCGTTCTTTTTCCTGAAGGGTGTGTGTGTGTCTTCGCCTTCCTCTTGATTACCCACCGCACTTTTCCGGACCGGTGCCAGCGACGGTCCTGTCGGGCGTCACCATCCGTCACCCCCGAAGAGTCAATCGGCTCAGTCACGTGATCTGCCGGCGCACCTCCCCAAATCCGATGGTGCATCTGGACCAGTGTTTCCTAGTCTATAATAACGCAGGAGGAAGAGATTGGAATTTCAGTTAAATAACCACGATTTCACAACAAAATTAAAACGAAATTGTTTTGTGCGACAAATTTAATATTAATAAAGTCAAATTTAAAGTACTGTATTTTTTTTTCTTAAGCATACCTAACAAGTATGATCACGGATATGTTTTCGCTTCAAGAACTCAGATGGAAAGCTTCAACAGAATAAAACAATCTCCCTATATAAACGCATATACGAAATCGTAAGAATTGCAGAAATGTATCCAATTATAAGTCGTTCGGGTTGACGGCATATTAATAAGACTAAGAACAAAAACTCCTTATACACAGTTACTTAGAATAACTATGGTATTTTATACTCATCAATTAATATTCTGGTAGAGTTAATTAGACTTCATTGTGAGTAGCTATTAGTGTAACATTGAGCGTAACCCTGTCGAATTAAAATGACTAGTGGGCCCGCTCACGTTGTTTCCTGCAAATAAGTAATTAGCCTAAGTGGTCCATATTTCGACCCATTCATTTTAATGAAGACTTTAAAAATAAGTTTGGAAGCTCAGCCTAGTAGCACTTGAATTGGCTCCTTTGCACGAAACGTAGCTTTGGACAAAAAACGTCTGATAAATAAGTAAATAAATGTAATTGTAAAAGGTTTAGGCGAACAATGGCCATTTCTGTTCGATGTGACGATCATATTTAGCATATTACGGCAGCGTTATTTTATTCATTCATTTTCCTATAAATGTACATCATAAATCAGCAAGACAGTTCAATTTGATAAAAAAAATAAGCAAGGATTTTACGACGAAAAAAAAACATCGTTTTTACCTAAAACTTTTACCTGAAAACTTCAACGTTTAAAATAATTTCGCAGAAAGACGCACGATCTGCTTCCTGTTCTACCGGGCTAATAATTTCATTCAGAATTTTCGTGTTTAGTGAGTGTGCATTAAACCTGTCCTTTAATTGGATCAGGATACATTTCCACACTTGCCAATGATAAAAAAAAAGTCAATGCGGTTATATTATTTTTAAAACAGCGTATCTCTATGCTGACCTGTTAATGGCCGTGTGCGCGCGTGTGCTTGTGTGTGATGCACGCCCTAGTGTCCTCTGTCAAAAACTGAAGAAAAAAAAGATAATAAGCAGTAATAAGCTACCGAGTTGTGTTTTGGTTTGATCATTTATTTATATATATATATATATATATATATATATATATATATGTGTGTGTGTGTGTGTGTGTGATTATTTTATTGCCACCAATCGTCTGAAAGTCATGATATACTATTTGAAAGTGTTAGCGTCTGTAAATATTATTATAACAACTTCCTTTTGTTTATATCGCCCTACATCGTGAGTTTACGCCTTAGAATCCCTACAATAATTTTTTTCTAATAAAATTGTTCTCCTGTATAATTACTCTTGTTTATTTTGCTGTTATTATATGGGTGTTTTGTGTTTACAATAGGTATATACGAGGATTTGTTCAAAATGTTCGTATATACCTATTATGTGATTATTCTAGTTGCTATATAGCATTCTTGTAAATACACAACATAGGTTAAATTGGTTAAAGTGTAACTGAATTATTCTCGCCCCAGTCATATGTATCCATATAATTAGTTCCTATAATGGAAAGCGCTTACTCCGTCTTCGCGTGATCCCTTCATGTTAAAGGCGTCTCTCGGCAAACCTTGTCGCGAGCCAAATTGTACGCGCAGCCTATTCCTCTTACTTGTAATCGGGCTGACAAATTTATTTACGCTGTAGGGTATTTTTTCCATAATACGCGGACAAAAGGGGGAGGGGGCAGGTGCGAATAATGCGTTTGTAATGAGATGACACTGTTTCCTATTGGGTATTACTGGACCTATTAGCATACAGTTTAAGATATGCCGGTAAATTAATTCTTAATTTAACGCATTATTTTCAGCCAAAACCGCAGATCACGTTAAGTCCGTGTAATAAATATAGGGATTCTAGCACAAAGAAGAAACATGATTTTTATGCAATTAATGAATAAACATATTTCTGTGATCGCGAGCCTCTAATGGATAAGCAGTTATTGAAGATGGATGGATAGATTCCTTTTAGTAGTTTATCTAATGAGTCATCAACAGACTGGCGCCACCTTTTCTCGAGGGTCGTACGGTCTGGTGCTTCTCCTTCAGTGTCACATTATAATACGACCTTATTTGCAATCTGAATGATATTTTCATTGTCTGTCCCGCTGTAAGTACGCATAACTGCAAAAAAAAATGTAATCCTAATTCGCCAATAGAGCGATTTTGCCTTTCGGGACTTGCCATTATTTTACAGCTGTGCTACGGTCGTTTTAGAGCAGTCACCAATAAAATATACACTGACGGCTGTGTTTGGCCTGTCACTCATTCAGCTCGAGGTTTAATGCACTGTCAAGATCAGCAATCTATTTATTTTTTATGAGAAAGGTACGAAAGGGTTATCTAGCAGGAACTTACAATTTATATGTTTACATTCTACTCATTTATCTGACGCTTTTATCGAAAGCGATTTAAGGTAGATTAAAGGGCTAGAATTTTATGTGAGCTCTTTGGGATTTGAACCCAATTCTTTTGCGTTGTTAGCAAAAGGGACTACTTGTTGAGATATTAAATTTTGTAACTTTCAAAGTTCATATAGGTCTAGTAACGGCATGTTTTATGGCGAAGTGCTCAAATTTCCAAGGATCGTTTATTTAGACTGCATGCAGATACCAACACAACAGATAACGTTACCGAGAACCATAATTCAAAACGTCCTGAAAAAAATCTAAATCTTACAATGGTTTAAATGCTTATACTGTAAAATGAAACAGGAAACACAACTGTTCGTATAGTCACGAAATACGGTAGCCTAGTCTTTAGTGTAGTCGATAGGTTAATCAAACAAACGTGTCCTTTGATTCTCTTTAGTTGAATGCTAATTTTTATTTAGCCCCATCCTTGTTGACATTAACATTTACTACACCACCCCCCAAAGACAAATACAACGGTGTGTGGGTATGTTTATGTTTCTCGTGCATCCAGGTTCCCGGCCTCCATCTTTTTTTTTATTTTAAATGGACCCCCGAGGAGCATTAGGCTTGACTAACACCGCGCCCTGGGGGTTTCGAGTGCTGTGATCCGCGGGAGAGAATGAACTCCGCCGAGGTGAGAAAGCCAAGGAACCGTTTGGCCTAGTTAGGGGCTCGCGGTGCCCTGCTGGGAATGCCAGCGTTTGTCATTCAGCCGAGGCGAAGACACAACAGGTACTAAATACCGCAAAACGTGACAATGCCAAGTGCAATACGGAATGCCGCGCAGTATGGAAAGGCAAAATTTCAGTTGTCAAAAGACTTCGCCGATTTCGTTGCTTATATTTAAGCTCAAAAAGGTAAATATCACTCACCTTTTCCAACTGGTATTGCGTTGTATTCATGTTATCTAATTATGTATCTATTATGTATCCATTAAAAGAAATCGGAATATAAGTGGCATAATCATTTGACACATGGGCCTACCTACATTCTAAGTGGTTGTTTACCTTGCATTACGTGGCTCTGTGATTTCGCAAATGTAAAGATTTGGCTCCTCGTGGTTCTTAATAATAAATTTGCGAATAATGGATTAATGGCAGATCACAATAAAGGCCATAAACTATCATCCTCCTCCCGCAATCAGCCTACCGCGAATAAAAGGTGGCAGAGAGCTGCTTGCGCAGTTACACGAAGTTAGACACTGCCCAGCCAGCTGCGCAGTCCGGCTGCACGGCGCCCCCAGGTCCGGAGGTTACAAGGAATCGCTGCAGGACTTCTTGTACAGCGCCTTACAATGCAATTAAGGCATACATAAATTTAAAAGTGACTTTTTAAACTATTATAAGTCTGAGGCGCCCACATTTTCTTAAATTATTAATATATAATTCTATATTCATACTTTAGGCCAGTCTCCGTGGCTGTATCCATAACTGTCTCAGTGAAACAATTCAACCTGCAATTATTTTTTGTTCTTTACATCACTTTTCTTAAATATACGACGAAGGTGATGACAACTACAGCAACAACTACAACAACAACAACTGCAGCAGCAGCAACAACAACAACGACAATAATAACATTCAATTTCATTACATGGCGTATGATGAGTATTGTATTTTCCTCTTACTGCAATACCATAAGTTTTACGTGAAATTAACTTCCTTATTGGCAAGCTAAAGAAATAGAGCGATGACGTGAACTTGACTTTTATCCAATACTTACCGAAACTGCGCAACAGCAGCCCCGATTGTTTCGGTGATCTTATCCTCCATTAAAGGTGCCCCTTTCCTCAGATTTTATGTATCAAACTGAGCTCATCTGGCCCAAAGGTGAGCCATGGGGAAATCTGGGTGGGAAATATCAGCGGTCAATCATTTAACAAATGTAACTAACAACATAATTATCGAAAATTTGTCACTAATTGAACTGTTGGCCTAATTGATATTTACTGCCGAAATCGATTTCGCTGCTTACCGTGCGCGTGTTTACCTATTACAAAAATGTATATTCGGCGGTAAATAGCTGCAGTTTAGCGAATCTTAGGAGAATGCGTTGTATATCAGAAATAATCACGCTGAAAGCTGACCCCATAATGTTCCATATATTTTACAGACTGCATTCGTCTTGCAGATGTACGCAGCTTATTTGAAGCTGCCCCGTGTCATGTTGATATGGCAAGGAGTGCAGCTGTTTTATTTAGTAATACGGGTTAACAACTGGTGGAGACCTGGTGTTCTGAAACAGAGATCTGATTCTTATAGTTCATGTGTGGAACGTTATGGAACTTAAAGTGATAAGAAGCCCGTATCAAATATCTGCAGACAATTTCTCTGACTGCTTTGATTCGTTTCTCACGCAGCCAAAGGATTTGAAAGTCAGATATTAAGCAAAAGAAAGCAAGACTGTGGCTTTGAATTAACGAGTGTCCCCTGACATCATATTTTTCCTTTCCCGAAACAGGCAAAAAGCAATTTCACACACTCGTATGGCACCGCTGTCTCGTTTTGCTTGGATTAAAAAGTTAAATTAAAATTACATATTATGAAGAAATACAAATCTTCATTCGATGATTAATGTATTATATCTGTATAAAACAAAGCGTGACGAAAATTAGAATATAAATGCCCATCAAAGGTTTGAACTGTATTTAATATAGGCCTATTAAGAAAATATTAATATCCCTACGACCTGTACCAGAATAAGCATTTCCACGGATGAATTGATACATGGAATAATATTTTTATCAATAGGAATATAATCTTTAAAATTTGTTTAAAGTAATAATATTACATCTACTTACTAATTCTAATAGCAATTATTGTTAATTAAAATGGAACAATTAGTTTAAAAATGTTTAACGATTTGTACCTGATGTTGTAATAATATTCACAAGACTAATTATGATACAGGTTAAGTGTGGATGAACAATGAAACTGGCTTAATTAGTCTGCGTTAAACTACCCCAGTTAAGCAAAGGTCCCCGAGACCAAAACAGTCTTCATCGTCAGCTCAAATATTCAGTCACTGCAAATGAATGTACGCCAGGAATAACAAGACAGACAAGTTAAGCGCAACAAGAGACGCAGGGAACAAGTTCGGAGAAGGAGAGACAGCGACAATGAAAATAAAGCGCAGCTCCCGTAAGACTCGATGATTGATGAAGTCAGCTGTGCTGTTTCTAATTAACGCTTAAATTAGGCCAAAGAAGACCTTTCGAATTAGCGCCGCCCCACCGGAGACCGTAAAGATCATATAAAACATGTTTTGAAAAGAGATATTGGCAGACTTAGTTTTAGCATCATTAGTGCTTACAGGATTTGAGAGAAATTTCACACCATCTCTTTCCGCTCAGAAAAGCATCGCCTGACTGTCGGTCTCTCTATCGCTGTAGTGAGCTTTGACCAGGGCCGAGTTTCCCGAAGCCTTCTTAACGCTACGTAGTTCTTTTAACATAGAACTGAAGAATGCTTCAGGACACCTACCCCAGATCTCCAGCGTCTGTGTGTGTGTGTGTGTGTGTGTGTGTGTGTGTGTGTGTACCCATATGCACTTGTTTGCTGCAAATTGGCTTTCAATTGTATGTTAAAATGTCAGTTTTTACAATTGTCATTATTACGTTGTTAAAAGTAGAACTTTTATTATTAGAGTAATAAAGTGTACTGATAGAGTTTCCCCCCTTTTTTATAAGGTTTTATGGGATTTCGCCCAGGTCGCAGACATGCCTATGAAAAACTATTAATATAGTATAACAAAATTTTCTACAATAGCCAATAAATTCTCTTTACTTGCTCAAATCGATAAAATACCGGTTGTATATAGGACAACTTAAGTTTGATTTCATGTACTTCTATATTCTAAGAAACATGATATAAATAAGAAATTTAATATGAATAGTTTTTTTTATTCATTCTAAGTTCGCTTGAGGGACAGCATAGGTCATGTATGCCTGATAATAAAAATATTATATAATATTTAATTATATAATTAGCGTTTGTGTTTGTGATACATTATCTATCTGTTTTTGATAACTATCTATTGGGTTAATAGGCCTACACTTAAATAAAAAACCTTAAATATCTATTTTTGATTCTTGATTAAATCGCGTCATCTCCTGACTTGCCCTGACGATAACCTGCAATTCTCTGTCTCAGTGCTTGATTTTAGCATTACCGTAAGCGGGTATTTACCGTGTCAGTCGTGTTTCTTGAATAAATTATCCTTTGTTTAATAACACGCTCTTGCCGTTGTTCCTCAATGACACCCTTGTCGGAGACACTCTCCATCCAGTGTAATAGAATCTCGTGCTGTTTTAATAACTCCCGTGTTATTTGGCCCTGTTTTGTCCTTACATGAATGTCACCATATGGTGTTTTTGGCACGGGTGACGTTTCTGCGGAGTCCATTCATCGCTAATAGTTCGTGTAAAAGAGTTATCTATCATTTCAATCGATCATTAAATCTACGAGCAGATCAAACGTCGGTACATTTTGCACCATATTCCAATAGACTTGAGCTAATTCACTACTCAAAAATAATGCATTTAGCTGACAAGAGCGACACATGCAACAGAAATAAGTGACCAGCCTTGATTTGGAATCTTTCTGCGCTTTTAGACCTAGAAAGACCACGGAGCGTTTTGTAGTGTAAATAATTATTTTTTGATTCGGTTCAGTTGTACAGATGTTGAGAAATTTGGTTCCAGGGAATTTATGTAGTCAGAAAAAAATATATAACTTGGAGTAATATCGTCGCGCAGGCCATTCTGCTTTTCAGCTGTGCTTTCTATTCTTAGCCACAAAACGAATGAATTAAAAACGCAGTCTGTCCATGACGGGTAATATTCGAATTCACGTAAATATACCTTTTTATAAAATGTATTAATTGAACAATGTTTTATGGGGTCAGAAGTGATGTCTTTAAAATTACTTGAAATTGTGAAAATTTATTAATTGATGCTACATTCCACATACAACACAATAAATCTTTTACATCTGAAGACAACGCGCCTGCACGTTTTAAAAAGAACTACGTCCCAATTTTGTCTGCACGTGCAGTGTGAAGCTGAACACACGTCTTCCATATTAGCATTTAAGAAACACGTCGTTTGCAAACTGTGAAAATGGTGAAAGGAATGTAATACCGCGTTCGTTTTTGTTTCTTGGATAGTTGAGAGAAAAAACGATATAAAATTTAGTTCATGGTGCTGATATTATTTCATAACTATGATATGGTGTTCTAGACAATATTATTGGTGTTCTAGACAATAAAGCATTGAATCTGAGTAGCATACTACCTGTAGTTTGCAGTGAATATATTGTGTATTCCATACTTTCATTTAATTGTATTGTTTGGGTGTGCCGATACAAACTAATATTACGAACGGAAAATGAAACGGGTGATGGTTCCTACCTGCTCTCTGCGCCCAGCTAGACTCCAAACACTCCAGCACCTAACAGTCAAGAGCGAACCTCAATGCTGAACCTTGAATTCAGGTTTTAAACACCACCATTAACAGAAGGACAAGTGACGCGGAAAATTTAATTCGGGGTCCCCGCTTAACCTGTATTTTTACTCGGGCAAGAACTGAAACAGAGTTTTATTTTCGCAAAACTGAAATATCGTCGAGTTATTTGTAAGACGTTTTATAGCGTTTCACTTCTGTGTAATTCAAAACCGCGCACAAATCTCCCCTTTCTCTCATAATCATTTCCAGGTTGTCTCTGTTTTTATGGTGCATTAGAAAGAAGATGAGCTAATAAATTTAACTAACCCGCCACGGACAGTGCTTTCATCTGTTCGAGATTGTCCGAGTGTTCCTTCGTCCCATTTTTCTATCCATTGATGGAGAAAGCAAAAGAACGCCGACACGCTTCCCAAAAACCAATATAAATAGTGCGAAAATTAATATTTCTGCCTTAAATGCTTGCCCTTGCCCAGTGAAACACTTGATGGATGCATAAAACAGCCTTTGACTGGGCTGCGCTCCGTAGGTATGCGCGATTAATCGTATATTCATTTCAAAAACATTCGTGAGACGTAGCATTAATAATATTGTGAATATAATACTATTTTATTGTTGCAACGATTGGTTATCTGGACCAGTGTCGTGTGAATTAAAAGTCAATCTTTTTTTAATATTAAATCATTTGTACATTTACTATACATAGAAAATATAATTTCTCTTGTTACTACAGTGATATTGCAGTTGTTGTAAAAGCCTTTCATTTTGCCAAGGTTTTTTCAGACCGTACTGCGCTTGCTCAAACAGTATAGCTTACACAGTTTAATACTTGTAATGCCTATATCACAAGCGCGGGTTAAAAAAACAATAAAATAAATGAAAGTGATAACATTTCGGAATGTTATTTCTTGGTTCATCACGTTTGCCAAGAGATTATTTAACATCTGTTCAAAAGCTATTCACAGCGCGTTATGACGTAACTCGTAGGTTTTATAAACAGGAATCTTTACTCTCCCTTTTCAGTGAAATATACATGGGCAGCACGTGGTTCCCTTAAGTGGAAAGTGGAGCAGCAGATGCATAAACCTTTCAAGCCGTGTCTCGCTTTTTTAAATTTGGTAACGCCGGGGAAACTCCTCCTATTCCTGCGTCCAATTAATTAATGTGGCCTGGCCCTTTAAGACCCAGCGCCGGGTCAGTAAATGGTGTAGAGTTTCTCTAATTGATCTTCGCCCAATCAACAATAACATAAGTCGTTAGCGGTCGCTCGCTTTTCTAGTTCTGCGAGACGCTTTTTCTTTGTGGCAAATCAGCCCTGGGCCAGCACCGTTATACTTTTTAGCGATTTTAATGGAGTTCCTCAGAAGACCCACGGCTTTCTTAAAGGGAATACAATTCTGATTCTGCTGTCTGTAAAACCGAAGTCCGGCTTGAAGAATGGTTCTTCTCGAAAATCATTTCACTTCAGAGAAGCTTTGAGCGTGCGACAAGGGGGTGAAGCGAAGACGCGAGCAGATATATAATCGGAAGTTTCTATGACCTTTTGAATGAAATATTATCTACTGCTATTAGAAATAAACATTTCGAGGGAGTACGATGACCTCAAGCAGAGACATGAAGGCAGGATCAGTGTTGCAATCTAGCAGCGAGGAGAGGAGAAGAGGTGCTTTGGATCAACTTCCACCGCCAGCTAACTCCAACAAACCCCTCACTCCGTTTAGCATTGAGGATATTTTGAACAAACCGTCCATAAAGAAGTCGGCTGCCAGTCTCTGTCCGCCGAGAGTTTTAGAGAAAGTGACCGGATCGAGTGCCACCAGAAACGGTATTAACACTCCGTCTTCCCCGCTGTGTGCTCTGGAAGAGTTAGCAAGCAAAACTTTCAAAGGTCTGGAAGTCAGCGTTATCCAAGCCGCCGAAGGTATTCATTTTAAAAATTATTTTCTGTTAATCGCCCATATCCGATCCGTGTCGCTTATGAAACAAATGCAATGCACGTGTATGGACTGCTGTACAGGAATGCGTGTTATTTTCCACTGGCACTTACAGCCAAGAAGAATGCACGAGGGCCTGTATGAAAACAGCAGGTCTACAATACGCGTATAACTGTAATATTTATCAACATTATGTCCGTCTAATATTTAAACTCCCAGGTGTAATTCCTTACAAAAAAAATAAATATAAAAAAATACAAAATTCGGCCTATGAGTATAAAATCAACATAAACAAAAAACGGTACCTGTACAAATGACCAACATCAATGTTCAGAGTGGTTAAATACATTAGTATTTAAGAAATCTTGCATATAACGAAGTAAATATTGTATATAACGACCTAGACATCTTGGTGTAGTTTTTTTTTTTTTTTTTTTTGCATCAAATTTAAATGAAACCTGATAGGAATCGGTTTATAACTGTTATTTGACAGTTTCTTGTAATGGAATTTTTCATAATCAGCTGTATTTTTAGCACTGTAAAGTACTGTTTCAGAAACAAATATTATAACCAGTACTTATAGCTGGTTTTAATTATGGAGAATAACATGCTCCTGTAAAATTTAACGCAGGGAAATGTTTTTAGATTCATGAGGTATTACAAACGAACACATCCAATGTTACTTGTTATATTACTGTATTTATAGTATGTTAATATTAATAGCTCATAGCTAGCGTTCGAGTTGTGTGGTTCTGTGTAGTTTCTGTAAGATCGGCCTAAACAGGACCATTTTGCATTGCCGTGACAGTTAGCAAAAATACGGAAATGTGCGTATATACAATGTTTTGAATTATTTGCCGCTGTGATTGCTTGAAGATGTATGCTGTGTGCTCGAAGGCCTGCAGCATGTCCGCCTGCTTCCTCTGGGAGTTTAACGCTCCTGTTTGTTTTCCTTTAAGGTCGTGAGCATCTGAACGCGTTCGGCCAACGTCAGGCCTCAAAAAAGAGGAGAAAGTCTCGCACGGCTTTCACGAACCATCAGATCTATGAACTGGAGAAGCGATTCTTGTACCAGAAATACTTGTCCCCCGCGGACAGAGACCAGATTGCACAACAGCTGGGTCTGACCAACGCTCAGGTCATCACCTGGTTCCAGAACAGGCGGGCGAAACTCAAGAGAGACTTGGAGGAGATGAAAGCAGACGTTGAGTCGCTGAAGAAAATCCCACCGCAGGCTCTCCAGAAGCTGGTTAGCATGGAGGACGCTGATGACCCCCAAGGCGGCTCTGGAGCCGTATCCCCCAGCATATCACCGTCCTCGCAAGGGCACGGGGTCTTTCCGCAGTCGCCTTTCTCATCCAGAGACCAAACCACCGACGAGTTTTCAGAGGAAGATGAAGAAATTGAAGTGGACGATTGAAAGTAGGCCTGTGTTATAATAGGGGACACTTTCCAAATACTGCACGGACAGGGACTACTTTGGGAATTAATGTTCAAATGAAGGACGTTTTGGTTGAAGTTTTATTTATATAAAGGACTGTAAAAAAAAAGACATAATGAGATGCTTCTGTATTAAGCTTCGGCAAATACCGTGGGGAATTATGATGAAAATTACTTTTCTAAAGTACCAAATTACTTTGATTCATGGTACAAGATTTCAGAAGTGTGTATGTACGTTTTGTGTTTCTTTTACTATGTTCATAGGGAAACACTTGCAAATTTGCCTCTTTTGATAAACCATAAATCACACTCATTTTTTATAGCTGCTAAGAAATCATCTCTTCAAAATTGGTGTTTTTTTCCCTCAGATGTGTGCATATAAAGGGTGCATATTTTAGGAGAAGAGTATGTTATTGCCTTTAAATACGTAGCTGAAACAGTGGGTTGTTCATGCAGAAATAATTTGTGGGAATTTTAATTGACCTTAAAAATAAGAGACCCGTAGGTTTTTTTTCCTGCCCATCTCACTTTAGTCTTTAAAACTAACCAGACTTCAGACGTGGACCTGCAAACAATCACCTAATCTATAGGTATGTTCTGTATATAATTTAAATAAAACGTTTAATGGAACCTCTTATTATGGCAATTTTATTGTAACATTCTATTTAATCATTATCTCTGTAAATAAAGGGATTATAATATTTAGCGTTTCCTGACATGACGTGTTCTGTGAGCCTCGGTGTGCATTTCTGATTGTCATTTGCCCTTGTATGTCGTTCTGCGTTAAATGGTAAGGACCGTCGTGCTTAATAAATCTAACTTAAGTCTCGGGCATTGATGGATTATAGAAATGTCTTCGCGAAGATCTTTTAAGAGTCGACAGAGAAGTCTAAGCTGCTTGGGTATACAACCTAAAATGTCGATACAACTGTTTCAAGGTGAATCACTTTTGTGTTCGTAAATGTTAAAAGTATCAAGTGTTTTTTTTTTTTTTTTTTTACAAAGCCCATACAAGTAAGTCTACAGATCAGTCTACAGTCTACCAACAGTGCCACGTTTGATCTTAGCGTTGTGGGACTCGAGTCTCAGAGGCAAGTAAGCATGTCTCTCCCTCACGACTATCAGTTAAAGAACTGTTGTTGTCACAATATGGTTCGGACGGGCCTGGTGTAAAATAAAGCTGTGACCGTGCCGATCCCATATGGTTTATGAATTTTCTCTTAACACAACCTACTCGGCGTGATTTATTAGTTTAACCCGCCTTTCCGTACTTAAACACTTTCCCTCTGCCGGCAGCAATAATACCACGCATCTGTGCCTCTTCTGTGCTTCTTTTAATTTGTGTGTTAAAAACGCCTATGAATAGCAATTGATTAGCGAGAGGTTCCTAATGAATAAATCTCAATAGGAGGCCAGTAGAAAGGGAGGTCTATTGCCTTTATCTGCTGCCTTCTCGTTGTCCAGGCTGCAATCTGCTGGCAAATCTTTTGGTCCATTAGTAACATTTAACCAGATCAAGGAAAGCTGTTTGTGGAGGAGAGAATGACCGAGCTCCTCTGAACACAATTGACGCAATCGGTTGGAATCGCCAAAGGGTTGAAAAGTCAAGCAGTTTTTTTTATTGTTGCGTTGTGAAACGGATCCAAGAACTAGCCATAAATGAGTTTTCGCCACAGAAACGAGACCAGGCTTATTCTTCATGTAGGCCTGTTAGATTTATTTTAAAGTTTACTTTGCGTTACATATAATTCAGCAGATTTTTTTCAGATTCGACACATACTTTGTCGGTGAAAAAGTAATTGAAATTTCTGTGGAAATGAGGTTTCTGTCGGCCCTGTCCTTATGAACATTACTTAACTGAGAGTATCACACACTTAGAAATAGTTGGACATTTCAAAGATGCTGAAAGATCCAAACTGCAGCTTGCAGATTTCCGGCGCCATTATTTCAGTGTTCCACCATACCCCGAATATTTCTCTTTTGTATGAACGCGCAACAGATTAATATATACTAAATGTGTATACAATGTTTTTACTGTTGCCTTCGTTGAACCGTGTAGCATTTAATGGCCAGCCGGTTAGACGCACAAGCAATGCATTCACCATAAACATTATTTCTCAGTAAGTAAAAATTTTGTTGTGTATTTGTTCATTTGATTCGTTGTCATGTTTGTCGGACCCGAGCCTATTAAATGCACGTGCATTTAATGCAAAAACACACTGCATCCACGCAAGAGCCTGCGGGTCCGCTTATGCTGTGGGTTATGGGTGAGTTATGCTGCAGTATTTAACTGATTTGGCATTTGTCTCTCTGTGATAAACGTTTGGTATTGTCAATTTTTTCATGTAATTGTCGGTGTAAACAAAAATCATTATGCAAAAAATCGAATGTTTCCTGGAATAATCCCCATTGTTTGTTTGAAATGTCTGAACTATAGGTATATCCGAACAAAAAATATTATTTGATGAATTGAACTAATACATACGGATAATCATATCGGCGCATGATTTTATACAAAAATGACCACTTGGCTTCGATTATTATTCTGCATGAAATATGAATTGTATCAGTGTGCCTGTATGGTTTTGGACGCTATTGCTGCCACTATTTATAATAATTTCTTTCACAATGAAAACTTAATTTTAACCCGGAAACCATATATAATTTCGTGTATGAAAACCTCTGTTTAAAGTCGCGCACTATGCCAATAGTTCTTAACAATAATTTGACTGTGCTGGTGAAAATATTTTTTGTGTTACTTACCTGGAACCATTACGTAGTATAGGCTCAGTTTCATTTTAATTGGTTTGTATTTCCTATGTAACTTTCATATTAAAATGTTGATTAATTTTATATTGAAATGTTTAATATACGGCACTGTCACTTTTTCTTATGAAGTGTATTATAAATCTAGATTTTTCTCTTAAAAATAACGGTATGGCTCAAAAACACAAAAAACGCCAGTTTCACCAAAAACGTTGTTTTTAATTTTTTTTAAATCACAACAGCAATAACGATTTATCGATGTTTCCTTAAATATTTTAACAGGCCAAATTCTCTCTTAACTTTGAAATATATATGCAGAATTTAAATCAACGTTATTTTTTCTTTTAAAATGTAACAGTATTGTACATAATTAGAGAAAAATAAAGTGTCGCTTTATAGTATGAAATAGAGATAAACGAAAACAGATAATATGCAAATTGTGTAAATCCGCCTGTTTAAATAATTGTTCATTTCATCGAAAGCATTATCCTACATGATAAACAACGCATTTCACTATATCGCTGTCACGCCACTTATTCTAGTACGCAGCATCTACGCAAGGAAGGGAAAAAAACAGCCCAAATGAATGCCACCAGGTAGCATTATTAATACATTTTGTGACATTAATTACATATTTCACATATAAAAGTGCTTCGAAAGTTTCTCGTAGGAATTTCCTGATTTCTGCCTTCGCTGTTCCCTGAAATCCTGTTACTGCGCCTGTATGGTGAACCAAAACCTAATTTTCTGGATGGTTAATTACATCGTTTCTTCCCTGACATCACTGCTTGTTGGCATTAATTTGGCTTAACTAGTGATTAATTATCTAGCTTTAGAATCATCCCACTTTGTTTTCGAAATGTCTTGATTACTTGCATTGCGTCTTCTCTTTATGCATGTCGTCACGCGCCGCTTAACACACAGTTTAAAAGTTTTATTTGTGAAACACTGTAACACAAACGTTGATTTGTATTACACAATATAACGTGTTAGTCAAACTATTTTATTTTTAAACGGCCTTTTCCGACATGTAGCTGAATTCGCAGCTCAGAAAAGCATCTGATCAACTGTCAGGTGCTTCATAAACAATGAGTTATGAAAGCCTAAATGTAACTTTTTTGTAAATAAATGCACGGTACTCCATCGCAGCTACTGTTCGAATGAAAAATATTAAATTAAGTTATACCGGTAACATTAACCATACGCCCTGTAATACTAAGGTAAAAGTAAGAATTTCTTTATTTAAGATATAAAAATGTGCCACGTGTTAACTCCTGTTCTTAAACGCAGCCTCATCTTCACAATAAACCAAAAGTATATACAATGTCTCTATCAGTTGGGGGAATGTGCGGCATGCTCCGTCGTAATATCACAGCACGTCTTTGTAAGTTAATTAAAATCAATATCATCCTATAAAATTGGTTACTCTAAAGAGATTGCTCGCTCCCCACCTAAAACCAAGACTTTCTTAAACTGAACACTGTTTCCGCAGTTTCTTCTTTAAGAAACTATTTACAGTATGCCTTGACTTCTACCCGGGGAACACGAAGGTAGGCAGTAACTCCATCAGAAGCGCCAAGCGCGCCACCTTGTGGTATCTTCAGAAAATGTCAGCTTTACAATGGAACGGCAAACATTGTCTAGGTGCCGTTTTCCGTTTCTGTTCTATACCGTTCACCAACCCAGTGATCAGTCCCTTTGGTCCAGATACGATGCTAATATTTCACCCAGTAGAAAACAAATATCAGCCACCACAAAACACTTCCTCGTTTTTCAATGAAATAACATCTGATTGTAGGCTGTTGCGGTGCAGAAATGACTGTTTCATGGGCAATAAAAGCTAACCCAAGGTGTAAGGTTGGCTTTCATAGGACATCAAGAAGACATTACTAACTCATGAAAGAGAAACAAAAGCTAAACTTTCACAAAATTTATTTAAAAATACAAACAAAATCTAAGTACATTTATTTACACATATATACAGACCTAATTAAAATAGATTATCTAAAATACAAATATGTACAACCAACAGTGCTGTTTAAAACAGAACCAATCCTATCTTGTCTGCTTGTCCTTGATTGTGTAGTGAAGAACCAGAGGTTGAGCCTGTGAGAAAAGGAGAAATTAAGCCTGAGTTTACACTTTTACAAAGTGAAACTTTCTTAAAATGACCAATATATATTGCACATCTGCTATGATGGCTTTAATATTGAACAAGGTTACACAGCGATGAAAAAAGGAGGGGGGAAGAATTCTGGCAACACAAAATGCATTTCTGTTGGGACAAGTCAAACTTGTGGTTTATACGTATGTGCAGTGACAGAGCATTCGTGAATAGAAAAACAGGAATGATACGCAGTGAAATAAGACCATTTTTAACAGGGAATTGGGAATGCCCTAGACTCTGGTGAAGGCCATCGTACCTTGCCAAACCAGTGCAAGAGCCACAGCTGTTTCATGGTCATGTGATCAGGCAAGGACTCATTGTTGAACAACATCTGGACCTGCAGAGGTAAGAGAGCACATTAAAAAAAATTATATAAATATATTTCAAGATTCTGACCAAAGATACTGGGCTCTCACTCACCTACCCACCCATCATCAGATCTACACATCTACCCATCTTATAACTGTCATAACTCAGTCTGGGTCACAGGGAAACCTAAACAGGCAGCATGGGATGCAAGGCTAGGATCCTGCACAGAATGGCAGCCCATTGCAGGCCGCCGTGAGCACGCGCACACACACACACACACACACACACACACAACAGGTAATTCAGAGATGTCGGTTAGCCTAACTGCATGTCTTTGGACTGCTGAAAGAAACCCATAGAAATTTGGGGGGGGGGGACATGCAAAGCACCACACAGAGAGAACTCAAAGGTAGAGGAAACAGTGCTACCCTCCAAGCCACCCACAACACTATAGCAGAAAATTCCAGGCACCCGTTTGCTTCTTATTGTACCACAGAGGCCGATACATCGTGCCACAGTCATCACAGCCAGCAACAAATCAGGCAAGTGTGGCACAACTGGTGCGACAATCTGGCAGCTCGGCATGAATCACTGCAGCAAACCAGTGACTGACCTGCTGCTTCTCCACGCTGAGCCGCTGACACAGCACCCGCCGCAGGTGCCGCACTTCTGCCCGCGCCGAGCACCGCACGAACTTCTGCTGCGAAAACGCAAGTGCAACAAGTCGTCACATGGGTGCAGCCTGCCCAGCGCAGCTTGGCGTTACAGAAAGCAGTGCACCATAAAAACTACATGATGTGAAATTTAACGACGACAACAACACTGTAAAGTCCTCCTTGTTCTTTAAACAGCCCCCGAGATATAATCAAATTTAGCCAATCTGCAGGAGTCCGTCAAACATATTTGATAGGTTGTAATTTCTTCTTCATTTAATCAAAGTGCTGTGAGAAGAGGTTGTCCCAAGCAATTGTGCTATTCAAAGCTTTCACTCTGAACACATCAATATAGTGAAATCATACATTATAAACTGATTGATTAAGCAGAAAGACTGAAGCTCTTCATCACTCAGACCTCTACAGCTAACATCACCCTGTCCTTCGCAATCCTCACACTCACTACCTCTTACTCCCCAGACGGGGACAACGAAAATTAACATGGAGAACTAACAAAAATCATTGATGAGCGACTGTCAAAAAAAAAAAAATAATTTCAAATATGAGTTTAAATAGAAAACAGAAGCCTACGTGAAATTTAAGGGGAAGTTTCAGCAAACCAGATCTATAACGATCAAGTGAAAAATTAACCTGCTCCTTCTAAAATCTTTAATTGCTTGGACTGATCAATAGATGTCCATAATCACTGTTGCAGACAAAGTACTCAGTAATTAATAATGCAATGTAAGTAACCGCAAACTCAAAAGCACACTGAATAATCAATTTGTTTAGATGAATCCCAGGAGACCGTCTGATTACATTCTATACCAATTACAACAAACCCCAAATACGATCTACATACATTTTTACTATATATATGCTTGGTCACTCTGAATGACAAAGACTGCATTTTACAAGCAGATACAAATGACCGACAAAAGAAACAAGTGTAAAGCAAAATTCAAGCCAGTGCTGCCACCTACTGAGGAGGTGGAAAATGACAGCATGAACTACACTGCTTCTCAACAATTACCAACATCAGCAGAATAACTAGTCAAGCATCAAGTATTACCAAGTCAAAATATAGGTATACGCCACATTCTTCAGGCAGAACATGCAGCTAAATCTATTATAAACATCTCAACACCTTAGTTAACAGTTTATGCTACTGCAAAGAAAACACAAAAGGTTCTCTGTGACAAGTCTGCAAGATTGTTTCATTTCGCATATTTATGGTTAACTACATGCGGATGGGCTGGTCGCCCACGGCAATGCCTGCGACAGGTTTAACTTCTGAGACATTAAGGCGGTGCTTGCCTGGAAAGAGTGACATCATTTTGTACACACTTCACTTGCGTATTTCCACACATTCGCAAGAATGACTGATAAGACTAAGATGAGAAAGCAGGCAAATCGATAGAGAAAAACACAATTTAGAGCAGGGCTGTGTGAGCTGGGATGGAGCTCTTACCCGTAGAGTCAGCTTGCTTTTATCTCGCCCTGTAGATGACGACGAACTGCAGAAACATGGGAAGAAACTATATTTTATCGCACAGTTGGGCACAACCAAATACAGATGAAACTTTGGCAATGATCAGTTGTTTTAAATGGCAATATGTTCCCTGACACTCAATTGCACCACAAATGAGAAATACCAACCGTATTGCATTTTTGGTGTATTCCATTAATCAAATCAGACTGCAGGATGTAACTGTCATTTTGAATGTGCAAAAAGAGAAAGTCTTTAAAACTGCCACTGTGGCTATTCATTTGGCAACAATTTTTTTTTCTTATTTTGGACATTGAATTTTAAAAAATGCAAGGCCGATCAATACCTCAAGAAGCATTCACTGATGATTACAATAATTTAAATGTAAAGACAAATTCAGTCTGTTTGACTGGGGTTTCTGCACATTTCATGGTGCAATAAAAGTCAAAGAATAGCTGCGTTTGTCTTTATGACCCCCCCCCCCCCGCAACCATTAACAATGCAGGTGCAACCCAGCCCCATCACACATAAAGGAGACACGTTTACACGTGGAAGGCTGGGGGGGATCAATAGTTAAGCTGATTCTTTTTTCTGCAACCACAATCGATTGCTAGCCATTATTTGGTGCTGTGCAAGGTAATTAAGAAAAGTAATCATGGCACGGTCAATGAAGCACAGCACTGTAGAAGATTATTCACAACTATTGACAAAAGACTAACTTTTCAAACAAACACAATTATCCCAGCCATTAACATTTGGGGCAATAGTGGAACCTGACAAAGCGAAGACAAACGTGAAGCACTTTCTGCCCTCCTTTCAGGGTCTTCCATTCACGCTGAACCTGTCTCCTACGACTGAGACCTCCATGAACTACACAGCCTCCTAGACCTCGGGGACTCAAATCCTCAACCCTTAGACAGCACATTGAGGAACAGATTGGGTGCATGTTCTGAGAACAACCAAACTTACAGCTTGAATTACAAAAGGTTATAAAGCAACTACGATCTGACCCCATTTATAAGTGTTTTAGAAACAGCATTTTCAGCTCATTCACTGTACCAAAAGCTGTGCTTTCCTTAAAATATGGTTTGGAAATTCATATAATGCCTGTTTTCTGATGCATACAGAAGTGATTATAATTTCACTTATGCTACAACCAATACGAAAAGCACCATATTACCAAAACAAAATCTGAGTTATGTGAAACGCACATTACCTCTGTCTTTCCAGGCAGAGAGAGACCTGCTCATCGTATCTGTAGAAATGGGCTTTGGAGTGGTCAAAGCTAGTGTAGGGCAATCCTGCCATGTCAGGTTCTGCATCTGAAATGGCAAAAAAAAAAAAAAAAAAAAAAAAAACACATTACTTCAATCACTGGAACACCATTTCCCTTTCTGCTGCAAAATTTCGTAAATCAAGAAACAGTGCAGACCAAAGCAGGACACTTACCATCGACAGAGGACTGCACAACTCGTTCCAGACCTCGGGACTGGTAGAACTCCTTTATCCTTTTGTCCTCACCTGTGACATGGAAAATGGAAATGGAAAAATCAATTGGCACCAGATCCAAAATATCTTTCTTAGTCCAAACAGTGAAGCAGGTGCAGTAAGGTTTCCAAGGGAGGATGGAGAGTAAATTAAACATCACACAGGGTGTCAAAAGGACATGTTCGACACACTTACTTTCCTGTAGTCCTGGAACCAGCTTATACACAATGTCCTGCATCACTCGGTCAAGTTTCAGGTTCAGCAAGGGTTGCGTCTCATGGATTTTTATGTTGCACATTGGACAGTACTTGCTCGTCTGCAGGTATTTCACGATACAGCTCTTACAAACTGCAGGACAGGGGGAGAGGGGGTAAAAGCTGTATGCAAAAATCAAATCAAATAAAATCAAGGTTTAAACATGACCTAAAACAAGGTCAGCTATTGCACAAAATACTTAATTTTTCACACGGCGATGCCTCACTTACACGTATGTAAACACTCTGTAATGGTTGTGGCATCAATGAAGTACCCAGCACACAGGTAGCAGACAATGTGCTCATTCAGATCTTTTATTTTTAACTTCACCTCCTCCTAAAAAAAAAAGTTACACGTCAAAAGTTTACATTTCAAACAATTGAAAACATCCACATCAGTGGAGTTGGTCAAGACCACTTTCCTTGCCCCCTTCTTACTCTGGTTTTAGTTATAAGCATTTCTTTTTGGAGATGTGATACAGTGTACACTTCCACTAAAACGCGAGTTTAAATGTTTTGTTGTGCCTTTAGTTACGCCAAAAATGAAACGAAAAGGTGAATATAAATGAAATGATCGGGATTCAAAAGTTAAGTAGGACAGCACTGACTCAAACCGGGACGTACTGATAGTGTTGATCGTGAATATAAGGCGTGGGAATTAAACCCTTTTTCACTCTAAGTGCATATTTTACTGGCATACGGGTGAAGATAAAAGGCGCTAAAAACTATATCTCGGTAACAGTAGCATGACCTTTTCCTGTTATTAATCAGCGACCAGACATGTCACGATTTATGGGTGATGCTTAACAGGCGGGTTTTCCTGCGACGCACGTGCTACTCCACGCGCCGACGATAAAAACAGCTTAACTTAAAATAAATAAAAATGACTGTCCATCTTCGTAAGGACGTCGACTGACGGAGTGCCCCCAAGTCAGAGATGTCATACGCGGGAACGATGGACGTATTACAACGACACTAGCCATTTGGTTTGGTTTTAATAATAAATATATAGAGTATTGGAATAGTCGACGACGCCGTCGAATTTTAGAGAGAACGGAAAGGAGCGCCGCGCTCGCCATCCCGCCTGCCGGCCGGCCACATCTCCCTCCGGCCCCGGCCCCCAGTCTCACAGCTAGGTGCACACGCCGCGCCGCCTCAGACCTGGATAATTACCCGAGAAGAATCTCTTGGAAATCACCGCGCCATTATTTTCAAGGAGGAATCGCACATACACGCATTTCTCTCAAACCGGGCCGATTTAATTCCGGTTACGACAAGAGTTAAGTTAGTAATTTACGCATAAGAGCTCACTGCGCAGGTCTCGGCGCCGTGCGAGGCATGGGAAGGCAGAAGCGCTCCGCTCACGCCTGCGCAATTACAGACCGCGAGACTGCCGCTGTCCATCGCTGCTCCGGCTCGAGCGGACCGCGCGCGCCCTTCCCCTTCCCCTCCTATTTATACGCGGTTCCCGCGAGCCCAGGCCGGCCGGCCGACCGCCACGGCCGCGACTGCGACTAGAGGGTGCGGCGCGAACCTCGTTCCTCAGCGGGTCGAGCTTGTAGACGGACTGCAGCTGGTTCCTCAGTCGCATAGCTATCGCGATCGGTCCCTGCGCCGCCATCTTTGGCCGGATAGGCTCACTTCCGGATAAGGAAATTGTTGTCATAACAACTAGAGCGATCGGCACGAGATGGACAGTGCACCGATGCGCAGAAATTATCCTTCGCCGCTCCGTTAGTGTGTTACTTTTTTGAGAATTTTAAATGAACTTGGATGAATACACATCCAGTGTATCTCAATCTATTTACATTATGCTACCGTTTCTTTTAACCTGTACAGTGTACTTTAGTATGAATGAATTTGTAGTTTTAAAACCGCTACACGGGTCGTTACATAGAATAACACCCACTTCATTACACTCGGAGTACGCTGCAGTGTTAAAACATGGAAGACTTAAGTTTGTTTTTGTAGTTAAATTAGTCAGTATATTCTACTTTCTTGTTCAAGTGAAACAGTAATGTCCTCATAAATTCATATAAATATCACTTACAGAACATTACATACCAGTCCGTGTGATTTTTGTAGTTGTCACACATGTTTCCTGCTTACGATTGTGAGAACAAAGATTTTACACTATAAATGTGATATCCAGACTGACTAGCATCCCGTCCAGAGTGTTTTCCATGGAAGTGCACTATTGTGCCTGGGATAGGCTGGAGTACCCGACACACTGACCAGAACAAGCGTTTAGAGGCTGGGCTTCACTGGCCCCCTGGAAAGTGTAGCGTCTGGCATTTTCTCAGGGAGCAATGATTGGGCAGGCAAAGTGTATTGTGGGGTATCCCCCGGCTGGCAAAAGTTATATTGGGGACCACCTCCCCCACCCGGAAAATGTTATCGATCGTCATGGTATCGTCAAAAGTTGCCGTGGGGGACCCCGAAGGCCACGACATCGCAGCCAATTTTGAATCATAGTCCAGCCCTGGTTAGTGGATGGATGGATGGATTGGTGTGAAGGATGAATGGATGGATGGGTGGATGCTATTAAGCGGACGCCAGCGCTTTCAGTGTTACAGTATGTTGTCATGCTGCCAGTAGATGGCAGCATAGACATAGGACTCCTTAAGTGTCGCATACGGTTCGCAATGCAATTAAACGACGCACCGTACATTATTTGAAATAATAAAATATATAACGTCATCACGTTTCTTTAGTCAGTAGTAATGTCCACTACAATGCCTTGATACCAACTGTACCGTAATGCCGCTTGCTACACATATGCTGGTTTGCACTAAGGTCAAACTAAACGAGGTCGTGAATAAAATACGTCAAGTGAACAGAACCACAGATTTCCGATAGTAGGCTTTATCAAGTGGCAGTATTTATTAGGCACGGGCTGCATGAAGTGTCTTATTAGGAGTGACATATCACTACAGTTCTAATGAATAAATAACTTGCAGTTGCACTTGGTAGCTTTATTTAGCTAATATTTTATGTAGTATGTCATAGTTTTTATGGTATAATGGTGTGCCTTCCGGGCAGGTTATAGTCATGTTAAGGAGAGATCTCACCTTTCCTGAAAACACAAACATGGATAGTATTGCAATTAATTGACGGGCTATGAGAATGGAGAGATTTTTCACATATGACAGATTCCTGAAATAACTCTAAAAACACTAAAAGAAAATTCTGTTTACTCAGCTGAAAGAACCTGGACGTCGATCTGGTCCAGATAATTTACTCTGGCAAATATACGTGCAAAATGTATCTGAAGAATTGAGCTGATCATTCACACCCCAGTGAGCAATTACAGTGGTGGCACTGTGTAAGTTGTCTTCACTGCTGGCGGTTTCCTCGTTTGTGTGAACAGTCTTATCTACCAGCTCTTGCGTGGTCACCGGTTATCTGATTGACAGCACTCTGACTCCACGAAATATCCAGATACCCCGCAGGCCAGGAGATGCTGGAGATGTGAGTGTAGCAAAACACTTTAGTGGGGTAAGCGAGAGGGAGAGAGAGGAAGACTGCACCAGGCGTCTCTTTTTCTTTTATTACCTCACGATGCACGTAGACAAAGAGGGCTTTCTCCCTCCCTCTGCCAGCCTGCAAATCCATTCATCGTCCTCGTCCCATTTCTATAGTTAATCTGATTCAGACACCTGGCAGCCTAAGCTATCAGGCTGGAAAAGATGTAGGCAAATTCACTTGACATATTACAGTCGGAGGACAAAGGATTTCATCACTGGTTATTGTTGGCAAAAGAAAGGAGGACAGAAAACAGAGATATACAGAAGTATCGCTTGAAGATAAACCCGTCGATATCTAGGTTTGCTCCTTGATGGTAGTAAATATTTTCAAGGAAATGAGGTCCAGATATCATCTAGCATTCTTTGGAATAAGAAAAACAGAAAACCTGAAGTGTCATTCAGACATTTTTATCAATCAGCATCTGTTTTACTGGGTAATGTTTTGTAGTGATTACTATCATATACTCTCAGTGCTCTATTAGGTACACCTGCTCGTCAATGCAAACCGACTGCTCCTCCGAACAGTGAATCATGTAGCTGCAACTGAATATATACAGCATGCAGACAGGGGTCAAGAGGTTCAGAATCTGTGCGGCTAAGCGTCAGAAAGTCTAAGACTGTGTGACTGCTGAAGTCAGACACTGCGCTTCCAGCATCTCAGAAACAGATATTTGCACACTACAGTGTCTAGAGTTTACAAACAAATGGTGAAATGCAAAACGACACGCCGGTGGCAGTTCTGTTGGCAAATACTCCCTGCTAATGAGAGAGGTCAGATGAGAATGGCCAGACTCGTTAAAGTTAACAGGAAGGTCAGGAGTGCAAAAATGACAGCTCAGTACTACGGGGGTGTGCGGAAAGGATTATTTAAGACTCGTCGTCCTTTCAAGTCCTTCTCGTGACTAAAGACGCTGCTGTGTGCTCCTACGTAGCGGTACCTACTCATATGATGCCTTTTACGTGCTTTTCTGTGTTGTGTTTGTTACTTAGAAATGAAGGTTACATCCTGCTCCTTGCCAGGCTGTAATTGATTAGCAGACCTTTGTTGTCTTGTCATTAGGGCTCTTCTGTCGTTTATCTACAGAACAAGGCGGCTTATATCCAGGACGAGAAGAGCTCGTAAGTCATTTGTCGCTCTCCTTCTGATGATGATTCATGTTCCTCCCTGCTTTCCAGTGACTCGCTGGCCCTCTGCCAGCCTTCAAAAGGACAACATCTGGTTTGGGTTTGTTAAAAGGAAAAAAAACCCTGCAGACTGCTGATCCAATAGCCTGTACTTGCTGATTACTGGCCAACAGCAATCAGCAAGTACAAGATATAGGATCAGTATGCTGCATTTTTTAGGTGTAATATAAGAAATACACAGTAAATGTATTAGTTTATATTATTATTCTATATCATATTATTTATATATTATCTATAGCTGTATGGGACAGCATGTTGCTCAGTCTCTGCGCCTGTGATCACAAGGTCGCCGGTTTGAGCCCCGCCTGGGAACGCCTACAGGTCCTTCAGCGAGGGCTTTAACCCCCCCCCCCCCACCCCTCCCTTTCATGGCCAGCTTGCTGTCACCCACAGAGAGGAAGTTGAGGGAGGCATAAAAGAGAATTTCCCTATGGGGATCAATAAAGTCTAATATTATTAAATATTTATTGCTATATATTTACTAACTGATCAGAGAGAAAATTAATTTATCCCTTGCTAAAGAAATGGCTGTATTTATATGTTTATATGCTAGTGTTCTTAGGACTGATGCGGTGCTGTGTGACTTCTGGCTGCTTGCACCTCCTGCTTGCACCTCCTGCTTGCACCTCCTGATGCAGCTTTTATCGCATCTGAAGCCCCTTCGTCCTCCATCATGATGAGCTGCTCACCCACCTGCAAAGTGCCGCTCGGCTGGGGAGGTGCAGCCCGGCTGGGGAGGTGCAGTGGAAAGGATACTGTCATCCCAGGTGCTGCCGGGACAATCGGAGCACACGCTAATTCAGTAATTAGTCTCTCAGTGGCACACTAATGATGGGGCCCTGGGGCCCGCATCAATTGCAGGGGGGGACCATGCGGGGGGGCGGGGGGGGGCGATGGGGGGGATCTCCGCTGCTCTCCAGGTCACCTCCCTGCCAGAAGGAGAAAAAAAAACCTCAAAAACCCAACGATTTTCCGACCTCTGACCGTTGGATTCTCGACACGACAGTGTTAAATAGGCAGACGTAGCCCCCCAGGACTGACTGCCTGTGTACCATCCCCCCACCCTCTCCAGCGAGATGCATGGCTGCTCACCTGGAACCCGTGGCTTCCTGTCCCCCAGCATGGGACGACCCTGAGTCCAGGCAAACCAGTGACACCACTGTCATTAGTGAATGGTCACACGTGCAGTAAGTGCCACACATGAACACACAAAGCAGGTTTTGCGGGACACACTGTTGCTAACGAATTGATTTCATTGCTCACCTTCTTGCAGACACACAAAATGCAAGAAAACCATGAAATATATGTAAATGTTATTATCATTTATGTTATTAAAATAAATGTTAATTTCACTTAATAAAATGTAATAGTTTATTAAAATAATATTTCAATAAATATTTTATTTCATATTAATGCAACAACAAGAATAACAATAATCGCAATAATTATTGTACACCTACTTAATTCCCTGTTCTCATCATACTTCTATTCATGGCTGGAGCAACTGTAACGAACCCAAATCTCCCCCCATGATTAATAAAGTTTTCTGGTTCTGCTTATTATTGTGTGGAGCTGATGTCAGTCACAGCCCTCCAGAATGCCTCTGGAATATCCCGAACCCGATTCTGGTTATTCACACTTGCCTGTGCCATGTTGTGGTGGTTTTACGCTGCTCATCCATTGCCTCTTTCATTCATATTCCAACTGCTTATCCAGCAGTTTCTGGGGAATTT